ATTTTAAATTTGGTGTTAATTTGTAAAACCATTGGGCCAAATGAGCTCAAAGCACGAGTAGCTATTTCCCGCTGAACCAAGAACTTGGGAAACATGCTAGATCCAAGCGTGTGTGTGTGTGTGTGTGTGTGTGTGTGTGTTGGATGTGATTCATCCCTGACACTCTGCTGGAAGCCCTAATAGAACATTCCAGAGAGTATGTATGGTTAAAACCAGATACTAATGAAAAATTTATAGGGCTGAATAAGAGATAGTTGACATTGGAATGGCAAAGAAACAAGGTTCTGAGACATTAGCTTATAAGTGAAAATTTAAAATGACAGATTTTAAATCTGGAATCCTGAAAATGTGACCTAATCTGTACTTAGACAAAAGTTACTCATAAAAGATCTATGTCTGCTCTGTATTTCATCATTTTAAAAGTGTCCTGGCTAGTTTAAAGAACTTTATACATACTAATCGGTTGCTATGGAAACCTACCTTGAACTCTGGGTTGGAGTCTATGCTTGGCTTGAAGTGTATGTAAGTGGCTTAGAGACTCCTGGAGACAGAAAAGCAAGACTCTTGCTGTTAGTCAATCCAGGGCAGTCACATATTCATTTACCAAAGCAGAGCAGATGTGAACACATGTTTTCCCCTCCCTGAACACTCTAGCCTGCCTTGCTAGTAGCTGATCATCATACAGAGGTCTTTGGGTTCATTTGTGAAAAAGAAGAAGATTCAGAAGCAGAAGTTCTAAGGACATGGTAACTCCTGGACTAGTAACTCAGATACTAGAATCTTCCAGGCTCTTCCTGTGTTTTCTGCAGAACTGGAAGGCTTTTATTCTAACCATTATTTGTTTGTGTTTATTAGTTATTTTGAGCCTGTAGCTAATTCCCCAATACTGACCACAAAGACAAGACCTAAGCCTGTTATGGTAGCACACACCTTTAATACCAGCACTTGGGAGGATGAGACAGGAGGATTTTTTGTGAGTTTGAGGCCAGCCTGGTCTACATGGTGAGTCCAGGATAACCACTGCTACATAATGAGACCCTATCTCAAAGAACCAAGGGACATGAAAAAGTAAAAGAAAAGGTATAAAAGAAAGACTTAAAAGGCCTTTAAGGGTCCCTGAACTTTAGGCAGTGGAAAATTCTGGCATGAGCTGTTTCTACTGTAATCTTGAGCCATGGAAGAATGGCTTTTCTCAGCCTTCTTGCATATTTGCTTATCATTTCTCAGAAATAAACACTAGAGTTTATTTTTTTTAACAAAGACCAGTTTAGTAAAAATAAAGAATAGAAACATTAGAATCAGTCATTTAGAATAACACATATTCATGAGCCAAATGTTTGAAAATTGTGGGAGAATATTACTTCACCTGAAATTGAAGAGAAGATGAAACCTTTTTTCACCCCTGTTCAGAGTCTTCTGAGCCATTTTTGTCCCTTTGAGAAGAAAGAAAAAAAATTAGTGGTAAATGACAGATTATCCAAGATTAAGAGGTAATGTGTAAAGTATAGCTTGTAGAGTGTGTGTGTGTGTGTGTGTGTGTGTGTGTGTGTGTGTGTGTGTGATTGTGTTTTGGGGAAGAGGGCTGGAGTGATACCTCAACTGTTTAGAGCATTGGTGCAGAATTAGGAGGACCAGAGCTCCGACCTCAGCACCTACCTAACATACTGAGCATCCCTTTAAGTACCTGCCACCCAGCCTTGAGTGGTTAAAGACAGGACAGCCATTGGGGTTTGCTGGATTTTCTCCTGGCTGAGAAAACAGGCCTCTGCTTCAGGGATAGACCTCACAGGACAAAAGACAGAGTGAGGAAAGGGATACCACAGGCCCTCTTCTGACCCCAATGAGTGTAGCCGCAACCCTTAAGCACATGAGTCTAAGCTCATCTAGATGGACAGAAATAACATTTTATGTTATTATGTGTAGATTGGGGCTAGATCGAAGCCCTCACAGTGAAGAGCACTTGCTGCTCTTTCAGGGACCCAAGTATGGTTCCCAGTATCCACACTGGGTGACTCATAAATCCGTGTAATTCTATCCCCGAGGGATCAACAATCTCTTCTGTCCTTGATGTACACCATCTTTTAAAAACGTGTGGTTATTATCTGTGCCTGTTTTACCATTTGTAATGATACATTTATTTTTATTTTATATGTATGAGTATCTTACTTGCATTGTGTATGTGCACCACATATGTGTGTAGAGACCAGAAAAAATGCATCGGATGCTCTAGAATTGGAGTTAGTTATGAGTTCTTTGTCGGTGTTGGGAGCAAAAGTCAGTCCTCTGCAACAGCAGCAAGTCCTCTTAAGAACTCAACTATCTCTCCATCCTCACTTATTTTATCTTATATAAAATTTTTATTCAATTTTGAGTGTTCATTAAATGATGCCTATGAAACATATCTGAATGATAAAACTTGATATAAGGAACACTAGGATACATCCTTCCCAGCTTAAGAAAACAAACATTACCAATATCTGAACCAAATCTCATTCCTTACCTTCCCCCGTCAAAAGAACCTGTATTTTGTATGTATGTTTTGTATTAGTTATGTTTGTGATTACATGAATTGGAATTCTACCTATATTGTTTGGTTTCGGAAGGCTGATGGGAAAATGAATTTTTCTTTTCTTTGCGTTAACATTATGGTTTGTGTGGTGCAGATCTTGAATTAGATTCCCTATTCTGGACACCACGCTTTAATTCTCATCTTCCACAGACCATAGGAAGAGGAGGTCACATTCTTTAGCTCTCCTAAGTGTCCCTGTGCTACAGGATAGCTCAGGGCTTTGCTAGTTCTCTCCAACTTTTAGTGTGGATTTTTGACTTAACTATACTTGCCTAAAATTTCACTGGTATGGAATACCCAGGGTCCATGGATTTCGCTACATCCGGTGTGGGATATCTGAGGGATAAAAATCTACGTACGCTATGTTATGTCTGTTAACTTTATTCCTCTAAGATAAAATTCCATCTATTCAAGCCGGGCGGTGGTGGCGCACGCCTTTAATCCCAGCACTCGGGAGGCAGAGGCAGACGGATCTCTGTGAGTTCGAGGCCAGCCTGGTCTACCAAGTGAGTTCCAGGAAAGGCGCAAAGCTACACAGAGAAACCCTGTCTCAAAAAACCAAAATAAATAAATAAATAAATAAATAAAATAAAAAAAAATTCCATCTATTCAGCTACAGTTCCATCAGGAATTCAGGACAAAAATAAATCTGGATACACCAAACTCTTTATCCCTCTACTTTATTTCTCTGGGATGAAACCCTGTCTACATAGCTTCAGTTCCATCCTGACACTCAGTTAGTTACTCTTTGCTTCTCTTTTACTGTTCCTCAAAGTCCTGCTAACAACTAAGTGTGAGACCAAAATGAGCTATCTTAGAAATGCTTTCACCCCAAAATTAAGGCCTAAGATTTCTCCTTTTGGGAATAGGCCATTAGTTACTGAAACCAGTCAGTTCAGATTTCAGAAACCAGGAAGTGTAGAAGTTCACAGTCACAAGATAGTCACGAGGTAATGCCTGCCAGACTATGGAATGTCCTCTCCCTGGTTTCCAGGGTAACTGGCCACAGAAATGCCCCCACCTGAGGGCAGCCAATGAGAAATGGTGGTGGGCAACCACTCCCTTAGAAGTAATTTCTAGAAGTCTCTAGAAGCGAGCCAATCAGAATTGTACCCGTACTAGCACCCCTAAATGATGTAACCTTGTGACTTTTCCCTTTAAAAACTGAGCTTGCAGACAAGTGGGCGCTTCCTCCAGCCTCCACTTCGTTGGATGTATTGGATGAAGTCCCTGCCTAGGCTTGTATTGCTTTTGGATATCCAGAATTAAACCTTGCTTTTGCATTCCGGCATGCTCGTCTTTGGTGGTCTCTCTGGGGGTCACGATCTGGGCACAACACTAAGCTCTTACGCTTCCTGCCTCATTATCATCCTCTGTTTCTTCTCCCTCCATCCTACTTGCTCTCTACTCCTGGCTCAAGAGTTCTGCCTTACTATCCACATTACTTCTGTGTTCTTCTCTTCTTCCTGGTCAAGTCTTTCTATCCTGCAGTGTTCTCTCTCTCTGGCCATGGGTTCTCTGTCTCCTCAGGAATGTTCCTCCACCCTACCTTCCACCTTGATATGTAAAAACCTTTTTTTGTTCTCAGTCAATTGCTCTAGAGACCCACTAGGCCTCAAGGGAAGAGGATTGATGGTCTGAGGCTCATTAGCACAAGAAACAAAGCTATGTGTCACCCCTGCCAGCTTGTCTTTGCCTGGTTCTAGCACTGGCTCTAGCAGGAAAGTTAGTTATGTAGACCTTCAGCAGATCTGAAGAGCTGAACTGTTTGCCAATTGTTCTGGGAATATTTGGGCACGCAAGAATTTCATAGTAGAAGACAGCTGAAATATTAAGAGCTAGATAACGTCAAATATTCATAATAAATGGCTTGCCTTTTGACAGACCCTTGGCTGTTCAAAGTATAACTTTAATACACAGCTGACTCTATATAATATATTCTTTTGGCCCACCACACACCAGTATAGTTAAAATCTTAGTTTTCATCTTAGTTTTATTCATCACTTTTAGTAATCCAATCAGAATACCCCTTCAAGGACCTTGATTATATGTAGTTTTGGAAGTAGAAAGCTTTATTTGTTAGTTTTACAACATTCTCATAGCTTTCCTGTAATTTCATGCACATGCATGCAGTGCGTGGACACACACACACACACACAATCGTCTTGGGAAAAGGTCATCTTAATTATTTATAGTAACTTTTATTTTTCAGTTGAAAACATTGGCCATTTTCTTTTCCAGTCACTGCATAGTAATTGGACAAAATATATGTATATAGATGATTCTATTATTTGACTTCTTAGAGATCACTTTTCTTTTAGGAATGAACCTGGTCGTAGAGTAATGGGAATGGATTTATGAATTGCATTATAATTGTGCTTAAAGTTTTCGTGTGTGTGTGTGTGTTACATATGTATGTATTTTCTACTAGGCTGCTACAATGAATACTAAAGATCCTGGCTGGCAGTTTTTGAGATTGTTTAATGGATACGTTTACAGTGGCGTGGAAACCTTGGGGAAGGAGCTGTTTATGTACTTTGGCCCAATAGCTTTACGGTAAGATAAACCTGTACAATACATCATGATGCTCCATGTTTAAATGTATGTGGAAGCCCTGGCTTGCAGCTTGCCAGGTTTCACATTTAATCATATAGAAAGTGTTCCAGATTTAAGAGAACTCCAATGTGAGAGGCTGGGATTCTACCATGGAAAGAAATAAGCTCAAGAAGAGTATGTTGTGATGTCATCATTACTTAGAGTCCGGTCAATTTGTTTTTCTTTGGAAGAAGGCGTCAATAGACTAGCTGGGCTTCTCCAGTACATCAGAGCAAATGTTAATTGCTTTTGGTAACATAGGTTATTTTGCATTTGTGACATTCTAGTTTGGCTTAAGTGCATTACTAGATTTGTTTTGTTTTGTTTTCTGTCTTCTTTCTCCAAAGCTCTGAATGGAATTTGGGAACTTAAGGAATTCATAAACTCCCTGCAGAAATACTGAAGTTCTTGTGGAAATAGGCAGATAATGTATTAGCAAAGAAAGACAAGCCAGATGTATATGTATATGGCCTTGATTGCCCTGATAAGAATTAGGCTAGCATGACCACCTATTTAACTTACAGGGAAATGAGGCAGGTCTGTGAGTTCGTTATGTCTGTTAAATCGCAGTGTGGTTTTAGAGGTTAGCCTCAGGTTTGACTAAGTGTGAATATGGGTTTGCTTCCTGGAACTTTTTTTTTTCTGGTGTCCCTTTAAAGGATTGAGCAGCTATCACATGAAAAGGAAAAGAGCTTTCCCTGGATCCTGGGCTTCTAACTGAAGGTGACTAACACTCAGAGAGGTGACATGGCTCTCTGATTGTTATTTATTGTGTCTCATCTACTGCACATTTAGAGGACTTCAGCTTTCTGTAATTGCTTCCCCTGTGAGGTGTTCTCTCAGTTGTCAGCTGCTTCTGTCCTTGGGCAACATTGTCACATCCTGGCTTTCCTTACTCTGGAATTGATAACATCAGCATATGTCTGCTGGTTCATGCAGTAATGATATATGGCCGGTTACATTCAGTAGATTGATGAGATTGAAAGCACTTAGCTCTGGACAGAGTCATACACAAAGGGACCCATGGACGATAGTCAAAAACATTGATATGGTATTGATTCTTGGTGTTAGGTGTACACTTATTTTGGTGGGATGTAAGGGAGGCTTTTATCAAATGTTCTCTACCACACTGATAAGGAAGGAATCATTTCTCAGCAAAGAGCTGTCAGTAAGTGTTCCATGAAGTTCTAAACAAGGGCAGTCCCATCTTCAAGCTACGTGAACCAGTATCATCCCTGGAGAGTACCTCTCTATCTATATGGGTGGGGAAAAAAAATTCACCGGCTTGCTTACTTTGAATTTCCTGCGGCCCTAATGATTATTCTATGTAGCAATTCAAGGTCACTGGCACATGTTGGAATCTGAACTTAGCAATCAAAAATCAACTACATCCCCTATTACAATATGACTTTAATTTTTAAAAAATGCACTCCTGACCTATGCTTCTGAGGGAATAAATGACTCCATCAGAGAGAGGTGGCATTTGTGTGGAACTGCAGGTCTGTGCACTCTAGATAGAAATGTAGTCTTTGGTTTTTGCTTGCTTTCTGGCCACAGTCCTTGTCTGTATCTCAGAGATTGTATAGCAAGCAACATACTTAGAAGATTTCTTTCAGTTCTCCAAATACCAAGGTTAGCATAATCAAAATTCCCTTTGCATTTTAGTCATTACGCATGTTCATTCACAGGGAAATTATCAACCTTCAGGGATTCATTTGTTTATGAAAGGAGAATGTACTGTAAGAGAATCATTCTATGGTCCACTCGAAGACAGCTAGCTGTGTAAAAAGCTCCACTTAAGAAAAATTCAAATTAGAGAGTTTAATATTTCTGTTAGTAAAGGCTTCATCTAAGGGATCTTAATAGTACCATGGAATACTAAACAGTGTTTCATATGCACTTTTATAGGCATGGTTGCAGTCTTGTGAGATGAATGTCTATATTAACACGCTTCAACTAAAACAAGGCGAAATAATTTTTGCATTTGTTGTTGTCTGGTGTGTGCACATATCACAGCACCCATGTGGAGCTGAGAGGACAACCTTGTGCGGTCTGTTCTCTCCCCATTTTGTGTTGGTGCTTGCAAACTCAGGTCACGGTGCTTCCATGGCAAGTGCCTTTGCCTGCTGAGTCATCTTGCCAGGCCTAATTGCAACAAATAACGACCACAAACTAAGAAATATAAACACATATAATAACCCCACCACCAAATCTCATTTTTATTTACTTTAGACGCATATATGGCTAGCACAGCATGGACATGCATCAATGTGTCTATCCGATCAGTCAGATCTACTGTGTGGACTAACTTTCACCATCAAAACGGATGTAACTATTCCACTTATGAGCACTTGGTGCTTTCTGATTTCTGATTTATGTGACTGACAACTGACTGTGATTTGCACACCTATTCAGAGACTAGAAACTGTATTTCTAATATTTTATATATTTTGCCAATTGACTTTCATAATTAGTTTTGTAGTTTAGTATGAACCTTCCATCTCATAGACATTAGATAATATAACCATTCCTCCTAGTTTGCTAATCTGTCTTCGTGGGATGTATAAACTACTTATAAAGGAGTTTTGCAGCTTAGTATAGTTTTCATATTCCATCACAAAACATGTTGGTTGAAATTTAAGTATGATAAGAATTCTATGAAACTGTATATGTCAGAGTTGTAAATACTTGGTGTTCACACACATATGGGTGTCTTTCCTGTATGTATGTTTGTATGCTCACCATGTGTATGCATGCCCTCTGGGGCCAGGAGAGGACATTCAAGTTCCCTGGGATGGCAGTTACAAATGACTGCGAGTCACCATATGCTGGGAACTGAACCCAGGTCCTCTTAAAAGCTGAGCCATCTCTCTAGCCCTTGGATTGTACTTTTTTGTAAGTGTGTGTGTGTGTGTGTGTGTGTGTGTGTGTGTGTGTGTGTGTTTGTGTTTTTTCTTCCTGTTTCTATCCAGTTGTCCTCACTGACACTTTTGTTGTGGAAATTACCTTTTCTCTAGTAAATTTCTCTGCAAAGTTATTGAGAAGCAGTTGACCTCATCTGTGTATTCCTGAGATCGCCATGTTCTTTAATGGATCCAGGTATCCATTTTCATCAATAATACAGTATTTTAAAGTAAGTTTAAATATGGTAGATGAGTCATCTTGCTTTATTCATTTTTTAATGTTTTTATTTGTTCATTGAGAATTTCAATATATATTTATTATATTCTTTCCCTTCCCCTAACTCCTTCCAGAGCCTTCCATCCTTTCCACACAGCAAACTTCATGTTCTTTCTCTTTTTAAACAAACAAACAAACAAAAAAATGGAGTTCGATTTGTGTAGCTCAAGTTACGCCTGAAGTCTGGTTGGTATGTCCAGTGATACGCCATTGAAGAACTCGCCCAGAAGCTATCAACCATGAGTAGCTTCTTGGCTAGGGGTAGGACTTTCTCTTCTCCATATTTGAATTTTGTCTGCTTTGAACTCTAGATGTAACGGTCTTATTCAATAAGAAACACATTGCCAAATGCAGAGTTAAAAGCCCAAGAGGTCAGAGCAGTAGCTAAGAGCTACTTATCTCTTCGCTGGCACTGCTGTCCTTCCTCTGAGAAAGAGACCTAGTTCCTGTGTGTCTGTCTTTTTATTGACTTTCTGTTCTGCCTTCTCACTGGTTGTAAACCCAACCACAAGACCTCCTCATCACTGCCTGTCTATACAGACCTCCAGGTCTCTATGGCTGGTGTTGAGATTAAAGGTGTGTGTCTCCAGGCCTGCTATGTCCTTGAACACACAGACTCTGCCTGCCATGTGACTGGATTAAGGGTGTGTGCTACCACCGCCCAGCTTCTTCTATGGCTTGCTATTAGCTCTGACCCCCCAGACAACTTTATTTATTAACATACAAATAAAATCACATTTCAGCACAAATAAAATATCACCATATTGAACTTGTGCTTGTCTTCTGCAGGCTCTCCCAGTCTCTGTCAGTTCATATGTGCACCTATTCTGTGTGTGTAGGAAAACTCTGTTTCCTTGAAGTCATCCACCACTTCTGGCTCTTACGATCTTTCTGTCCCCCTCCCCCAACCTCCACATAGGTCCTTGAGCCTTGGGAAGGACATCCCTTATAGGGCTAAGTACTCTAAAGTCTCTTACTCTTTAATTGTTGTCCAGTTGTTGGTCTCTGTATTAAGAGCCATGTACAAGCAGAAGCTTCCCTGATTAGGTTTGAGTGACACACTCATATATGTGTATAACAATAGGTCAGCAAGAGACATTTTGTTGCTTTGTTCATTGAGCAAAATGGTAGTAGTAGGTTTCCTCTAGGGTCCATGACCTATTTATTTAGTCTCAGGTTCTTGGCTTCATTAGCACTGTCTGGTATGGGTTGTGTCTCATTGAGTGGGACTTAAATACATTTTTTTTTAAAAAAGTGTTTGTTTTCTCCCATGACATCCCTGCCACAATTGCACCAGAGGACATATTCATTGGGCTGACCATTTTTGCAGCTCATAGATTACCATAGTAATCATGGGTGAGATTCATGATTACTTTTCTTCTCCAGTGATGTGTATAACAGCTTCCAGTACTAAGAACTCTAGCCAATAAGGATGAAGCTTCCAGTTGAGTACCTGCTGGATCTTTCCATGTTCTATGCCCTAAGTATGTGGTATCTTCAGCAACAGAGTCTTACTGTCAAGTTTGGTGATAAACAATAATGTTTGGGGAAGTGATATATGGGACCAGTTTTCCCAGTGACTTAAAAACATCTAATCCATTCCTGGTATTGGTGATTTTATTTGGTTGCATATGATGTGTAGTTTGGGTATTGTCTCCCTCATAATATAGTAGCTCTGTATTAAATTTATATATGTATATATTTTAGAAAACGTCTATAGTAGTAGATATCCATTTTCTTTCAAGTTTATTTTTGCTATTTTAATTTTTATGGTTTTCCTA